CTTTCTTGTTTGGATTTGAACACGTACGTTCCACAATACACACTTAGTCCAGCGTTTCTATTATTCCAAAAAAGAACTAAGAAATACTCTGTGTTGGTTCAGTAATAGCTTTGGCAACAGAATGAATAACAATAAGAAGACAATAAGAAGAATAATAAACTTACACCTTACATAACTGAACCACATGCCTATTTGATTTAATTCAGTAACGCTGAATGTTGGATGGAGTTTTAGAGTCAGTCAGTAGAGATCTTCTTTCCTACCATTTAAATAGATTTGCTTTCGTGAACTGTAACAGAGCTCTTCTAGCATCTGACTTGAGACTGACTTGCCTGACTTGCACACTGCACAAGTTTTAACTACAGTATGTTCCTGGATGCCCCACTATAAATAACCCTCACTATTTGGAAGGGACAGGAATATATATATATATATATATATATATATATATATATATATATATATATAAAAACACCTCATAGAAATGTACAGAGGCTGGCAGGCAGGTAAATACACAGACAGGTACAGACAGCAGACAGGAAAAGAGAGAGACGGACAAACAGACAGGCTGACAATACCGAGCAGGAAGGCAGATAGAAAGGCAGAAATACAAACCGGCAGGTTGACAGTTTAGACAGACAAACCAGACCAACAGGCAGGCAGATTTTAAAAAAACAAACTGACTCCCTCATTTTTAAGGCATGTTAAGCAGTGCAGCTCACAAGACTCTGATTTATTTCAGGTTTGGCCTACATACAGAATGTGAGGTTAAAAGTTTAATATTTCCATTTTCCACTCTAGGTATTTTTATTGGAGTCATTGGAAAGGCTTATGGAAGGGAAAAACTTAATAACCTGTTATTTAATATGGAAGGAAGTTGTGGCCTAAATAACTAATGACTCTATTTGAAACCATAATGAGAGTTAATATACATGATTCTAAATGTATATTTCTTATTTGCAAAGAAATATTTTCTTGCGAAAGTTGTCTGAAAGTTTGTGTTTGCTTTGCATTCCCTCGCCCCCTTTTTGGATCAGTACATTGCTTCACATGAGGGTCATGGTATTGGTTGCAAATGGAGACATCCATTGTTGGTCTGGTGAGCTGGTCAGCCACTGATCCAACCACTATGTAAAAGAGGAGAACCTTTCAGGGAAATGTTTCTACTGTTTAAATATAATAATACAGGCTTAAATATCCCAGGTTTCTAGTGATAGTTAAAGAGCAGTTGCACTTTACAACATCATGCTTCATTTTTTGGTTTAAGTTGCAGAGCTCAGGGAAAATACCGGCAGGTCAAAGGCTATTATTACTCTCAAAAGATAAAGTTTAGTTTCACTTCAGTAATGACTCATTTACCTTTTTATATGTTGTAACATCCAATATATCACGTCACACTGAGAGGTTAAAGTGTGTAAATTTTCCCAACAGAGTTTCACCACAATGGTAGCTTTTGTCTTTTAACTAATTTTATAAAATATATATACCTTTAGGTTCATACATGCTCTGAGACTATTTAAGTGAAATGAAACTAACTTTTGAGCAAAGCAACATCTAACTGAATAATTGTCTCATTGTGAATGGCTTATTGGCTCGAGTGCAGTGTCGCATAGTGTTCTAGCTCATTGAGTACAAACCACATCTACGTCACATCGCAGCTTACTGTTTTCTAAAGCAGAAATGTTTTTCTCGTTGTAATCTATGATCTTGGCAGCAACTGGAAAATTGCATGGCCCTGCTAATCCATCACAGTAGTCATAAAGGTCCTGTTTTATGTATTGTTAATATGTGTACATGTGGTAAAGTTAAGTAGCTTTAACTATTTTGAAAAGCTTTCTTGAAGGTGTGTGAAACTTAAACATTTAGTGTCTAACTTAACTTAGATATATAAATGTATTTGTAGGTAATGGGCTAATATTATATTGTACTCTTTGAGTATTCAGAAAAGCGCTTTTTCAATAAAATGTATTATTATTATTAAAATCACCATTACAGGTCCACCAAAGTCCTTTTTGAAATAATATAAGTCACACACTAAAAATTTCCCACAACATCAGATGGATGTCCGTAAAATACCTTCAGCAGGACTGTGCTGGTGCTGGAAAGAATTTATTATTCATGATAGGTATTATTAAGGCCCTTGCGTTTGAAGTCCACCAGCTAACATTCTCCCTCAGGCAAATCTGAGTAGAAAATCACTTTAATTAATCCAGATGCTGTCGTCCCACCGTTGGGTACAGCCGCTGTACCCCAAAGTCTGCCTTTCTACTGCGGTGACACCGCCTGGATAATTGCACTGTCAAGGTCAGAGATGGTTAGGTTTCAGTACACTGTTCAAGTGGAAGGAATCGAATCAAAGGGCTCTGAGAGGGTCTAATCCCTCCGCTGGAATGGCTTTGATTGTGTCAGGGAGCAATTAAGCATAGGTGCGTGTGTGTTTGGTCAATATATCAGTCACTGCGAGTCACAGTGGCACGTATGAGCACTTTGAAACTTGGGCTGCAAGGTATTTTAATGCTACGTGGAACGCCTGAGCTTTTTCCCATGTTTAATCACGCATAGATGAAGCAGAATTTACACCAGTGATGTTAAAAGGCCATACATTTAATTCATATAATGTTTAATATTTAACCCCCAGGAAATGAAAGCGGCAGTTTTGATAAAGATTTAAGCTTTAGGCACAATCATTTTGTTTAGCTTCTAATGTAGTTAGTTGAAGTCTACTTCTGTCCCTCTTGTGTAACCTCCTGACTCCTGAAATATAATAAACATACAGTTCAGCCACAGCAAGTCAGCAAGTGTGTGTGGTGCCTAATGAGGGGCTGCTCTGAGAGTTTAGGCTGATGTTAATTTGTTTTGTTTTTGTTGCAAACTGTGTGTCTGTAAATAATGTGTAAATGACGAGCTGTCATGCCATCCGGCCAGGCCACACACATGGACTAACACAGTAAGACACACACACACACACACTCATTACAAACAAGCCCTTTATCATTCCCAGTGATTGTGGTGCCAGGCTCTTTGTTTAGAATGCATTCATGGTTTGGTCATTATTTGCAAGCCCAATTTTGGAAGTACAAAAAAACTTGACCTTTTAGTTTAAAAAAAGAGGGAGGTCTGAGTGGCACTTCAAACTTGTCAAAGACGGAGGATTGTCATGAGAAATTAGTCAATGTTTCGACTTGATCTCTAATTTCTAACTTACAGTCATAAGGGGTCAATATCTGAATTTACATCTGACACTACATCTTTCCTAAATCAACAATCTATTCAACTGTGAACTTTTCTCTCCATCTCTCTTTTTTCGCTTTTCACGCAAGTAGTAGGTTTTTTCCTTTGAATAGTCGGACGCAACACCATGAAGACCTCTCAGAGACACTGTCTGCCCGTATTTAAATCATTTTTGCACCTTACCCCTCGCTATGTCAGCCAGCTTTTCCTTTCGAGTGTGGCTTTTTGGAACAGCTATGAACACTTTTGCTTTCTGACGTGATCAGACAACAGGCCATACGAAGCTCCACTTGATCATTTTTCTTGAATCACCTTTATCAGAAAGTTTAGCAGTTTAACGGTATGTCCAGTTTCCAATGTGGTAGATGACTCTACTTGGAGCAGTGGGTCAGAGGCAGCAAGACACACAACTCTATAAACACAAGCAGAGCTTCTCAAAGACCCTGAAAACTCCTAAAAATAGAGCCTTTACACACCCACTCACAGCCACACATGCTCAGAATATGTAAACACATACAGTACACGTACACATGCAGAAACACATGTACAGGCAGATATATACACACACACACAAACACACATACACACTCTATGGCCACATGGGCAGCCTGCTCACAACCGCCAATGCAAACATGAAATAATATTAGTCGACTATAAAATGGCAGGTCATATTTTTAAAATACCAACGGAGGGTCATGAACTGCTGCATAAAAGACCATCATAGTTGTGAGCCCGAGCTGTTTGGCTCCAAATATACCCCAGAGTCTAACTTAAGACCTGGAGAGGTGCCTGCAAAGTATTTTTGGGTCAGTGTTTACAGGTGTTTGTTCAGTGGCAGCAGTGCCAAGAGGTTAATAGGATACCCACTTTAAGAAGTTCAAATAGACTAAAGTCCATGTTGTTGAATTTGCGGTTATTTTGACCCAAGGATGGCCGGGGAAGGAGGCTTCATAGAGGAGAAGAACACCTTTAAAGTCCCCTGAGGTGTAACTTGTATTGCAGTTACATCCATTTACAAAAACTATGCCTCAGCAGATTATTTAGTAATCTGCTAATGTGAAAGCGCAGTATGGTCGAGTATCGAGTATGACTGTCGGTTGGGTCGGGGTCAGAATGGTAAAATTATTTAGAAAATCCAATGACAAGACAATGAGGGAAGCTTCTAACTTTTAGAGTCTTCAGCCTTCCTTCAGCAATAATCATTACACCACAAATCACTGCAGGGTTCTGCCCACATTTCTAATGTCATAAGACTTGGTTCTCCAGGAAACTATCTTTACCTGATAGTTGAAATCAAATATAAAAGCGTGGTAGTCTGAGTAATTACTGTTAAACCATGTTTATCTGATTGGAAAGCTGGATTGGATTGGTGCAAATATATAATGATCAAAACATTTTTTGCTCTTCTTTCTTTCTTTCTCTTTTGTTTTGGTCGCACAGTAGCTTTTTCGAGATTTGTAGTGTGTTACAAATAATAATTTCAGGACAAGAGGAGATATATATATAGATTTTGAATAAGATTCAGTTATTATGCTTACACCTCACAATTTATAACCATACACTGTTCCTCCCTTGTTGCTTGTTGATGTTGTTTACTGTGGGTCTATGTGGGTTAAGAAGTGCTCTGCGCTATATCTGTCTCCTCAGAACCTAGATTTCATCTTCCTCTCCTTCCTTCATCCTTCCTCTCTTGGACCTTCTCACCCTCCCCCTCCTTCTGTTGTAGTTTTTCCACTAACCTCCATGTGTCTGCTCTTCTTCCTCTACAGGTTCCGCTCTGTCCATCTTGTATCGAAACTGATCCAACCAAGCAAATTGTACGAAAGAGCTGACAAACACAAAACATGGCTGTGGCCGGATGTCCGGATTATTTCCTGCATCATCCAAACTATCAGGTAAATGGCAATTTTGCGTAGGTTGCTCTTCAGTAAGTTAAAATCTACCTTTAAGTATAATGTATATGCTGTTTTAACATGATGTCAGTACATCATACATAACTGATGAACCCCCCAGAGTTGTCACCAGATGCTTGTTTAAGGTTTTTAACCCAAAGTAACTTAATTTAATAGAAATGCTGAAATGTGCCAGTGTCCCCATGAAATTACATTGGATCCTGTTACAGCACCAAGCGTTGAATGTGTTCATCCACGGGGCATGGCTAACATGAACATAATTCATAAATTAAACTTCTGGGAATTTGTTAGCTGGATGAGATTGTGAAATTTGAAATCTGTCCCTGTAGAAACCAGGCACCTTATTATTCAGTCCCTCCAGAAAAACGTGATTATGCGATCGCATAATTCAATGCATAATCAGCCAAAGTCCGCATATTTATGCGGGGGCCGCATTTTTTCAAATACGCCGCACTTTCGCCGCATAAATTGCCGATTTTCGTGCAAAATATGCGGGGCTTGCATGATTTCATAATCCCCGCATTTTCGTTGCAAAAAAGTCACATATATCTTAGCAGAAAGTTGAAAAATGTTGCATTTACTTCACACAAGAGCAGCCATTTTCCCGTTGCCATGGGAACGTTATGAAGTGACGTAATTACGCGAGATGAACATCATCGAAAAGCCGCAAACCCCGCGATGAAGCTGCAATTTTTGCACGTTCCCACAATTTCATCGCATAAAATTGCATAAATTGCATAAATTGCCGCATATTCCATCGCATTTTTTAAGAAAACGTGCTGCATAATCAAGGATTTTGCCCCGCAACAATCACAAAAAAACTCGAAAACTGAACGTTTTTCTGGAGGGACTGATTATTTATGTGTTTAACATGGGAAACTAATAATAAACCACCCATCAAGGTACTGTTGACTACTTTCTAAGAATTCTAAGAAATAGCGAGGGTGTGGATTCATGTCTCTATGGTCCTTGCCAATAGTTCTGCCTTTCCCAGCCTCTCTTGATCAGCCCTTTAGATGCTCTCAATAGTATATTTGGTTTATTAGTTAGTAGTATGGACTGCAGAAAGAAATAAGGACAGAATGGTTATATTTGTTCTGTTTGGTCTAGTTCTAACTAAAGAGTCAGTAACCCTACAGCTCTTTGTGGTCATATCACTGCCATTCACTGACTGTTGGCCCAATGGAGGTAGAAAAGCATCTTCTTTTGGCTGACACACCCCCAGGTAATGGCTGCTCTTTTCATTTCAATTGTATGCGCGGCCTATTAAGTCAGACACAAACACACAGACTAGGACCTTTCTTATTGAGTGCATTTAGAGTGTTCCTAATGCAGTGGAAATCATATTCATGTTCCTGGTGTAAAGCTCACCCCAAATCAGAATGAAAAAATAAGTCAAAGAAAAAAAGAAAAATCAACCACATGCATAAAAAAAAAAACTTCTCCCAAAACCACAAAATTGTTTTTCATGAAGAGTGGTATATTTCGATCATGGGTCTGGGGTGATTGACTGTAGCTCACCGGACTGTAGGTGGATAGATACATAGACAAACAGTAAGGGGGGGAATCAGTGTTTTATTGTATTTATATCTGAACTTCAAAGTCAGACTAAAAGTCAGAGTTGGCTCAAAGTCAGAAATATGTCATCACTCTTAAAACTGCACGCAACCAAATTGTATCACTGTGCACTCAGTAGTTGCGTTGAGGTGTAAAGTCATGTGTTTTGGCTAATGTTTTAAATCTAATCTTATTTTGTTGAATGTACAATCCAGATTTTTCATGTAACTTGAATGCAGCACAGAGCAGTAAGAGCATATGGATAATAGAGGGACAAATTCTGTTACTTTAAGCTTTGAGTTCAAACAAAGACCTCATGTTACAGGTTTAGTAGATTGTTCACACCGACCTCCGTAGAGCAAAGGGCCTCCAAACATTTGTGTTAGGGCAGTAGCACTATTGGTCTGATCAGAGGATAGTCTGTTGTTTGCTCGTCATCTGGGCCATGGCTTTAGCTATGACCTTTGACCTCAGAGCTGCTAGAGGACAGAGAGTTCAGCCAGCTTGACTTTTCAGATCTCCAAAGCTTAGAGAGACAGAAACCAAAGGTGTGTGTGTGTGTGTGTGTGTGTGTGTGTGTGTGTGTGTGTGTGTTAGAGTGAAGTCAGGGTCACTAGTGTGTATATTGTTTCTGCCTTTCTGCCTTATTGCTTCAGCTGCAAAGATGAATCCACATATGTTGTGAAATTTTAATGAGGCATACATTTCATAACAGAAGAGTTTAAGGAACTAACCCAACAAAAATAAAACTGCAGGGAATAGGCCTTGAGTTGAGGCTAAGGTGACACCCCCTTTAGCACAACAAATCATCATATGTACGTAGTGTTAAAAAATAGAGCAATGTAAATATGTGTAGGGGAATCTTCTCTGCTTAACGTGTGCTTATTGCATTCACAGGGATTCTCAAACACACCAAGCATCTTGGTCTTGTTATTTAGATGGTTTTAATGGAAATCAACTAGGGATTGTATGAATAATCATTTAGTTCTTCCATTTTTGTCACCAGTTTGGATGGGTGCGGCTGGAGCTACACTATACAGACCTTAATGTACACACTTTAGTTCACACACGCACATACACACACACACACACACACACAACACACACTGTGGTCCACACAGACACACTCTCACTCGGCTGTTTGCAAAGCATTCATCTATAACAGATGTACCTTGACTCGCTGAATGAGGAAACTCATTCACTGTGAAGTTCCAGGGTTAGGGAAGATTTTCCCTGATAAAACTGCCACTGCAATTCAAAACAGATTCAACTGAAGATAACATTCACGCTAAACTCAAGGGATTATATCACCACTTTAAATCTAATCTAATGTGGTAAAAAGGAATTGTTAGTGGCAGGAGGATTAGAACCCCTTAATCCTATAACACATTTTATAAAATATAAAACTAACCTTGGCTCTCACCTATAGTAAAATATAGAGTAGATTACACACTTAAATGCTGCGTAAACAGAGCTCAAGGAATCTCTGTATGCCAAAAAATAATATTGTCATGTATAAAAGTTCTGTATGCCCTCCAGTGTATCAAGCTTCCCCAAATCTATGTTGGATCACTGAATAAACAAGCAGAGTCCAGAATTTGAGCAGAATTTTTTGCGGTGAGAAAGCTGGATTGTTTTATCTGGCGCTAAAGATTACAAGATTTTGTTGTGTTTCCCATAGCCAACCAGTATTCCTAGATATTGCAAGATTACGTTTGTTTTGTTCGAGCTTTTGCAATGTCAATGCATTTGTAAGAGGAAGATTTCCCCCAGAAAATGTCAGTGTGGACATGGTTTTGAGGCTATGGTGACTAAATTAACTTTGCAGCTTTGACTCAGTCTCTCATAATCTAATGTACAACATCAAAGCGTTCCTTCATTCACTGTAGCCAGTTTTTACAGTTCAGGGTCATGGACTGGCTGGAGCCAACATGCATTATGTGGTAGGCAAGATGAAAAGTTAGGAATTATATTCCACAGGGGATGTTCTGATCCTAAGTGGGAAATCATGTTTTATTTTTAACCCAATAAATATTTTGGGTTTATGATGGTAATAATAGCTTTTGTTCTCACCTTGGATAGGGACCAGTGGCCAAAGTTGGATACAAACCACTGACAGTAATTTCAAACAAACCTCATACAATCTTCAGAAATTATTAACATTGCACTACACTACCATCTCACTGTACTGTATATCACAGTTTTTCAGTAGTAGTGAGTAGCCAGGGATTATTCAATAAGTAGGGCTGCTTATGATGTATCTTACACAATTTACTAGTTCTATTGAACTCACATATACCTCTCAGATAGTCTGGATGAATAGCACAACAAAGCAAACAATAGCTAACATAATTATAGTGTAATATTGTAATCGATTAATTTGAATTTAAACAAAGATAATAAAAAACCCAAATCAGCTAATATTATCTAAAAATTAGTCATAGGCCAGCCTGTCAGTGGCTCAGCTGGGCTGTGTCAGCAGCTACAGCAGAGTCTACTGTATAAACAAACAGATAAATGAGGCACTAGAGCAGACATTAGCTTGACCCCCTGATCCCATTCTGGCTAATTATGTAAGAAGGGATTTCCACTTGCTGTCTAGTGTTCATGTATGTTGTAACAGGACTATCTCAGCTAGTGCTACTGCCAGAAGCAATTCTAGCACCCTTGAGGAATATTTCCACATCTTCAAAGCCTTCTGAGAATGTTAAGTTCTAGGTAACAGAAACTGCAATTTTAAACGTCAAACCTCAAATGTTCTTTGCCAAAAACCTCTCAGTGAGTCAAGTATTAATCGTATTTAATCCCCGGTCATAACATTTAACCTGAGTCTGACCTCTTCTAAAGACAAAACTCTGACATGTGTCTCAGTTTTTCCCTTTTGTTTGATGTCCAGTCTCCAGACCTTTGTGTCTGTCCTGCTTTCAGTGCTTTAACCTTGTCTCCAGCCTTCCACTGAATCCTTTTATAAAGAACCCATAACCCCTTGACTCTTATTTGGAGTTCCTTTCAACTTTATCAATGTTAAAGGGCCCTTATATGCTTCTTGTCAAAACTTGGCCTACCTTTAGTCCTGTTTTGACCTCTCTTTAAGAACTTAAGCAACACGTGTATGTGTGTGCGTGCGCGCCTGTGCTTTTGTGTCTGTCTTTTAGTGTCTCTGAGTGTGGGAGAGACTGAAAAAGCAAGAACAAGAATAAAAGAGAACATCTGTTTTTTTTTTCTTCAGCATTTAAAAAAAGAAGAAATGCTTGCTTTTATTTTCTTATTTTCCCCCTCCTCTTTGTGGTCTCAACCTTTATAGGCTTCAATAAACGTATAACCAAATGCAGAGTTGGGCAATGGCATGGCTGAGAATTATGCTAAATGGCCAGTATCTATAGGATTAAATCCTCAAGTTAACATTCTATCAATTGTCTATAGAGGCATCAAAGGCTGTCTGGGTTTTGGATTTTTGTTGGTAAGATCCACAAAAAAGTTCAAGGTGTGCTTTAAAGAGAGAGAGAGAGAGAGTGTGAGTGTGAGTGTGAGTGTGAGTGTGAGTGTGTGTGTGTGTGTGTGTGTGTGTGTGTGTGTTTGTGTGTGTGTTAACTCATTTACTCCCGGACAGCCATGCAAAACAGCATTCAAGACCACTATATGGTGTGAAAGAGTTCTTGCATTTTTTGCTCAGTGGAGCTGAACCATTACCATCCTGTCCTGAATATACACACACACACACACACACACACACACACACACACACACACACACACAGACTAACGTTGTGCTGTACCATCCCACCAACCAAACCGTCGTCCCACTGTTTGGGTGACTGGGTAGGGATCAGTCACAGTCTGGTAGCTGGACCCCCAGACGATGTGTGTTGATGATGGCGTTTGCTGTGTCACAGGAACAAATGGGGTGATTCTGTGGTTATTTGACCATTTTTTTTTTATTTCAAAAGGTTAGTCCCATTAAGCTGCAAAATCTCTTTTTCGATGTGGCCAAGGCGCCTGCAACTCGAGACAATACAAAGACGGAACAATGTGATGTAGTGATTGGATGCGGTTGGGTTAGTTGTTATAGAAGAGGGATTGTGGGGGGTGGTGGACGACAGAACCATATACTGACGTTGAACTTCTAGTTATGTTCAGTTTAGTCTGAACGTTTGCACCAGTATAGATGCCGTAGAGGAACACTAACGACTTATTTTTCACTGAGCATGAAAACGAAACATTTTGCAGGCAAATCATGGATTATAGATTTCCAAACTATTCAGCCGAGCATTTATTTTGAAGAATGGAGTCATCAGAGTGTCATTCTACTTCAAGCCTTATTCTCACAGTGAGTCAATTACCTTCTAAGTCTTCTTCGTAAAATTACTTTAAACGTCACAGGTAAAATTAAATTTGAGCTTTGCATTAGAAATGGATTGTCCAGGAATGCCATTACTATGGTGCAAAGAAACGCATATTATACAAAGTAGCTGTTAGAATAACTTTCCAAATGCTTTTGGTATGTTTTATTATTTGGGATAAAAATGTTATTAAATTGCATAAGACATCTGATTTCCTCGATGTGTAACAGTGGGAAAAGAGAAACAAGGCAAAGCATTAATTGGTTATTTAAACAGTTATAAATGTTGTACTGTGGTAGTAGAGCAACACTCAGTTTTAAGAATTTAAAAATACATTTAATCTTCTTAAGTACACCCTGATCTGCTTTATTAAGTGAGACACTATGGGTCTAAAGAATGACGTGATGGGTACCAGGACCATCATCATTTATTCATTGTAACTCAATGGCTGTGGATCCAATAATGATAACTCGAACTGACATAAGGCAAAAAAATTATACTTCTATTATAGAAAAAGCTTGTGTCAAAGAATCCAGCTCTGCCTGCATTGTCTACTACTACTCTAAATGAGGCAGAAGAAGTGACTGCAACAGTTTTTATTACAGCATCAGAGGAGGTCTGCTGTGTAGAGACACAGTCAGTAGCAATGTCTTTCTGAGCTCAGTCGTATACCCCAGTACGTTCTGTTCCCACTCCTGCTGTTGAACCCTGCTCGGGACACCACACACGCAAATGCATGCTCACAAATAATGGAAAATCCACATTTGTACTCTTTGTAGTTGTAAATGCTAAAGACAAATCCCAATCAAATGTGTTTCTAAACAGAAAAAGAGAAATCAGTCAAACCAGGACATTGTGGGTATATGGTAGATTATCTGCTGGTCTTCTGTGCTCTGATGCCTACCTGGCAATGTTCACACACTGTTTGTAGAATGTAGCATTGTTTTCACACAAGCAGTGTATAAAGAGTAGAGGTTACCTTAGTTCAGCTTTTTGTTTTTTAATTTGTTATACTTTTATGTAGGATTTAAATTTCATCATATTTCTGTTTAGTTTTCTGAACTACTGACTATTTATATTTTTGTCCTATTTGTCTTCCTCAGCCCATTTTTATTTTATAATACCAATTTGCACCCAACTAATAGTTTTAGCTCTAAGACATATGAAACTACAGTTTTGCGACAATTGTGCATCTTTTGTTTCTTCAACAGCGTGCAGCCTGATCCCACACACTGAGCACTATGATCCCTGCATAACACCTCTCTCTAAAAACTGGTTTATGTAGAGGTATAATCACAGTATATTGCCATTTAGTGCATTGCTTCTGTGACACCTACATTGTTTTCCTGGTATGTCATCTCAACAAATCAATATTAACTCTTTGAACTTAATTTGAATGATTACATGCTTCACCATGTAGACGATAAAATGCTTCAGCACCTATTTTTTTTAGTTTTTTTGTTTTACTTTTTTTCTTATTCTTTTTTTAATTAAACAATATAGGTTGAGTGTTTGGCTCCAGTAACAAAGTTCCCACTGGGTTAACAAAATGTTCTTCTTGTTTTTCTTTCTTTTGTCTCCCTCAGCAGGACAATATAGACCGGTCTTCCAATCACAGACAAGCTGACCTCATTGGTCCAGCCTTCCAGCAATCAGCCAATCGGAGTTCTCCTAACCATCAAGGTTGGTGTTTAACCACCCATAGATACTGTATGTGTTATGGTGTGTGTGTGTGTGTCTGTGGACATGTTTAACTCATGTTGAGGGGACATAAATCTGTTTACCCAGTCACATTGTGGGGACTCACCTTCCTTTTGGGGACAAAACACAAGTCCCCAACCATAACATTTGTGGGTGAAGGTTAGGTTAAGGTTAACCACCTTCTTGAGTTACATTGGTGTATAATACAGAAGCTCGTACTTGGTTATACTCTGACATCATATTACATCTGATTTAAAATATGCTGTGGGACATATGATATTGTATACTATTGGGATTTACGGTACGTTGACTTGGTGTAACATAAGCTTGCTGTGTATTCTAAGAGAATTAAGATAATATGATGTATTATAAGAGAATACAAAAAGGTCATAGAAATTACCTGGGAATCTGGTACTATGGGTTTGTGCAAGTCTGTGTGTCTGTTTCTGTGTTTGTGTGTGTGTGTCCCTTGTCTCAGTACAGTGTGGAGTGGGGCTTGCTGCTCATTATCCCCCATTGGGCCGAGGGTGGGTCGAGGGGGATAATATATATTTGGGTCTCTTCCGCTGTAAATATTTCAGCAGTTCAAAGGATGATCTGCATGGACACAGGGTGCCATTATAATTACGCTGTCTATTTAATTGTGCCATACAGAATTCATCCATGACAATCGGAGCATGAGATTTAAGCACAATATTGTCTCAGCATGGGAGGTATGGGAGGGGAGTCTGTGAGGACTCAATGAGTGAATTAGAACGCTTGGCCCTGGCATGAGAAATAAATGGAGCAGAAATGACATTGTCATTTTTCAAGATCAGCCGGGACGGAGGGAACTCAAAAGGCAGACAAATGGAGATGGCTTTGACTGAGGAACATTTTGTTTACACTCTCCGCATAAGGATATTTTCGATAGATACCCAGTTTTTTGTACAGTACATTATGCCTGACGTGTTGGGAGCCTGACTTTTGAGCACAGTGCAGTCCAGTATGTAAACCATTCAGATTTTTGTAAGATCTCCTTTTCACCTCTCTTTTTTTAAAAAATGTATCAAGTAGCCTAATGGATGACAATGTATGGCCAGCAAGCTACCACTTTTATGTACTTTTACCACTTTAGCATGTTTCAAGTCTGTATCATTTCAGCAGAGATTATGAATTCACCCCCAGTACCTCTGGTGTTGTTTAGTGGGATGTTAATCCGTATTTATGTTATTTAACTTGTTTTCCAGTGAACTCGCTTGTTAATTCTTACAGGACTATAAAGAGCCACCAGCTATTTGCTGTGTTTGCTATGAAGCTAGAGCAGTTATAAACCTATTAATTTTGGAAGGAACAGTATGGCTTTGTTGGAACATGACCTGTCATTATGTTTATGATGAGTAACTACTGAGCAGCTTATTCAGGAATTTGCAATCCAGTATTCGATGTCTACCAATGGAAGTTGCTTCACATGATATTCCCAACATATATTTGATCAATTCTGCCATGCACATAAAGTTTAATATGGCTTACCCAAATGTAGTCTTTCTTGAAATAACTAGAAAAATGCAGAAGCCATGTTGTCCCAAGCTGTGCCATGACACATATGCAAGTCCTCTCCAGCCTCTCACAGATGCGATGTCACAGGCTTGCACTGTGCAAATGCTGTTCCCTCTTTGTTGTTTTTCCCTGTTACACACCAGAATGACTTCAGTCGTATCGCTGAGGTCATTTTCTATAGGGTTGTAGAACTCGCTCTTCACACAAAGGCCACATATAAAATTAGGAAATGCTCTAAAAAGAGGTAGGTACCCGCATCTTTTCTTCCCCATCACTCCAAATGATGTGTGTGTATATGGTAATCTTAATACACTTCAAGAGAAATCGAGTATGTATTCTTTTGCTTCCAGATTTAATCATCATCAACTATCTATGGAGGCCTAAGTTGTCATTATATTGTGCCCAAATTCTACTATCAAATCCACCGTGTACACCTTAATTCAAGTACCAGCATTCAGTGTATTTTATATAGAGCCCCTTAAGGGCCAAGTGTGTAAATAATTAATGAAATAGACTTTCATTCACTTTCACAAGCAAAGTTCTGTATATAGATCCAGTCTAATGTTTGAGTCAAGTGTGACTGTGACAGGCACTCAGACCTGTTCTTTGCCATACATAAATGCTCTGATGCCTGAGCCACACAAGTGTAAAACTAATGATAATGATTATGTTAAATGACATGTTATCTTACTCATTTGTATTCTGCTTATTTGATAAAACTGATTTTCAATTCAGATAGTGTCAAAAACTGAAGCTGAAAACTCAAGCTAGTGGACCTTGTGTTTTGATTTTGGTTAAAAAAAAAAAAAAAAACTACCCTAAACTATGTCTGTAAAGCATATTTATACTAAGTCAGTTTCAAGAAAAAAAATCATGCCTTGACTTGTTTTTTTATTCATAATAAGGAAGGCAGTGTAGAACCTGTGATCCTTTCAGTTCTCAGTTCTTCAGTACTTCATCTGATTCCACTTTATTTGGATTGTCCACCTACAGATAGTTTGAGTGTTTTGTAACATTTCAACAGCTTATTAGTTGAAATTCATCTGTTTCACAAATAAAAGTTTGGCTAGATTTAGGCACAAAAACATCTTGATAAGGGTATCTTCATGAATTGTTACATATACTTATTATTGTCTGTAGGCACACTATCCAAATAAAGTGTTACCCTTCATCTTGTTCATAGGGACAACATTATGTCCGGAGAAGGTTTTGCCCTTGAGAAAAGAGAGAGAAAAATAAAAGAGACATGTGCGGGAAAGGGGAGTAGGCGGGGTGATCAGGTGTCCTTGCCTTTTGAACTTTAGTTATGTCATAACTGAACATTTGAGATGCCAGCGAAGTTGGTCATGACTTTATTGTAGTTCCATAAAGTCATTTGAATGTGACTATATAAAGGTCATTAAAGTATGATGTCACATATATATGTGGGGGGTTTTTTGTGTGTGTGTGTGTATATGCAGAGAGGTAAAGGGGTTTTTCAGATGGGCATGCAGCTGCTAGGCAACAAATCCCATCAATGGTACCAATGCAGTGCAGTAAGCTGACGGCGTGGCTCTTGGGTTGGGGGTGGGTGGCGGGGGTGGGGCGGATGACCAGCCATGATCTCAGGCCTAGAAATGAAGCTCCCACCTCCAGTTATTCCAGTTATGCCTTTGTGGAGAAAGGGTGACATGCCATGGGCACACACGCATGGACATGCACGTGCAGGCAACACATGCACGTGCAGGCAACACATGCACGCAAACAGACACACACTTTCACTCACAAACAGTGAGGGGCTGCATTCCTGAAAAGAATGGGGCTCTTTAACAGGGGGTTAAGGAAGGGTGCGGTGTGTGTGTGTGTGTGTGTGTGTGTGTGTGTGTGTGTGTGTGAAGAATATTATAAGGTGATGTGAAAGAAATGTTTTGCAATGATTTGCAACGATAAAAGTGATTGTCACCTCATTATTCTGTTTGGACTTTGCTTCATTCTTGCTTTTATCTATTTTACTATTCCGTCTTTCTTTCTGTACTTGCTATGGGTCATGCCTTGTAATGTCTTCATACATGAATGTCACTCCTGTATATCTTAATTTTTCCTTTAAATGTAAGATTGTGGTTGTAGGTGTAGTATTTACCTTAAGGCTGACAAGTTTTACAATTGGGAGGATATAGTGGAGAGAATGAGAATAAGGTAACATAACATTCCTCAGTTTTTTATTAAATTTAACCACCAGCCATGCGCTGTGAGGTTGTGATCTGGACTGAATGCTTACATTGACAATGTTAATGCTAATGTTTAGCAGATAATGTTTACCATGTTTACCATCTTAGTTTAGCAGGCCAACATGAATTACCACTAAACACAAAGTACAGCTGAGGCTGATGGGAATGTCATTAGTTTTGGTCAACCAAAGCATTGGACACGTTTTTGACCCCATGATGTATTACCCCAGGAGATAATCCAAAGTTGTTACAGTTAACGGTGGCACTAAATGAAAGGTCAGAGGGTCCTTGAACCAATATAGGATTCGTCCTCTGTACATGTCATGGCAATCCATGAGATATTTCACTTTGGATCAAAGGACCTATCAATCTACAGAGCGGCATGGCCATCCATAGAGCCATGCTGCTGTTTTGGCTAAAAACAATATCTATCTGGTTTACTTGTGTCTTACATTTTAAAATTTAAAAAAAAACTGAGCTTAAAATTTTAAATTGAATAAGACAACAGCTGTCACTTACAACTTACTAAGCAATGCTTTTGTGTTAAGTAAAACACCCTTATCACATGGTCGTCCTCACCCTTGTGACCCACTCTCCCTTTTACCCTTTCCCCCTTCTTCTTCCCCCTAAATGAGAGTCTGTGTCTCCGTCCCTCTATGTACTCCAGTCCCTGCTGTTCATCTCTGTTTTCCCTCCCTCCCTCCCTCCCTCCCTCGCTTCTCAAGTTTCCCTCTAACCCTCCCGCACTCTCCCTCCCCATGAGGAGCCTTGGCCCTTAGTGGGTGTGTGTGCTGTCACCAGAGGTATTGTACTCCCCAGTGCGGAGCCACGCTTGTGTGTGTGTGTGTGTGTGTGTGTGTGTGTGTGTGTGTGTGTGTGTGTGTGTGTGTGTGTGTGTGTGTGTGTGTGTGTGTGTGTGTGTGTGTGTGTGTGTGTGTGTGTGTGTGTGTGTGTGTGTGTGTGTGTGTGTGTGTGTGTGTGTTCAATTGATGTACTATATACCGCTTACATTCCCCTTTTCTACAGGAGGGTTGCCCCTCCTCTTTGTTTTTAAGTAGCAGGAATGACGAAAAAATGCATAGCCTACATTCCTTGGTTAAGGAAAAACAGAGCCATATGGATCTGCCATCAATACAATGGTTGTGTCTTGCTCACTAATGATCAGAAACAGTCTTTTATTGAAAACAAGCTTTTATGCAGATTCTTACCAGACTTGTTTTACAGTTGGTCATTACTGTATTCAGCGTTGGTCAGACAATAGTTTGGCTGTTTTTTTACCCCTATTAGTTTTGTTTTTTTTACCCATTATAGGTTCTCAGAAGAGGTGGAAGGGGACTTAACATGTAAGAGAAGATGAGCAGTTGAACTCAATTAAACCACAAGGAGAACACAAACATTTGGATAGATGGAGGTTTTCACTTTTACACGTTAGACCTAATTTTAAGCATTCACTTAGTTTCTAAATAATTTAAGTCATCATACAAATGTGGTGAACAGTCAATGTATTCGAAAAATATAGTTGTTTATTACAGCCATAGTCTAGTTCCCATAAGGCACAGTATTAACCAAACATTAAACCACTTCCACATCGATCCACAGTCTTTAAGATGATAGGATTCAAGGATAATCACACACATCTTAAAATAAAGGATTTGTTAAGAGGAAGGTCTTGTTAAGGAGGTGTTGGTTTCCTCTTCTTATCTAAATTTATTACACGGTATTGGCAGTGCATTTAACCTTTTATCTTTTTTCTTCCTAATAAAGCTGTAGAGGTGTTAATACCCTTTTTACACTAATTTTATCCTGTTAAACCTGCTGCATTCACAAATACCAGGGCCACAGCCACTGTATGCTTTAAGTACATGCTTGCTGTTTGTCTGGCTGTACTGAGAGGTTGCTGCTATGTCTCTGTTTTGTTGTATAAACCACTTGCTTAGCACATGGGGGTGGAGTGACAGTTTAGCAGACACTTATTTCCAAGCCAGGGTGCAGATTTATGCTGCATGCAATAATGCTCATAACATGCTGATCTTTACAGTGTATGGTTATTATCTGTAGTGTTTGGTGCCATGGTTTGTTACAGTTAAGCAACTGCATCACAGCTGCAAATGGTCACTGTCAACTGTCGCTCTGAGTGATCCCTGCTGCTTGAATCTAATTAATGGCTATAATATTGTAAGGCCTGGCACATCATGCCTGCTGTGTGTTTGGTGGGAATAAATAAAGTTGGTTATGTCTCTTTTACCCTTAGGTAAAAAAAAAAAACTTCTATTTTCTGTACTCTGTACTGTCAAGTAAGAACAACCCCAGTTCACTCCCTGGTCCAAATGTTCTTGGGTTTAAATCCTGTGTGTGCGTGCTTGCCTGCATGCTGTCTGTGTCATCAACCTGTCTGTCTACACCCGGGTGCATGACGCATGCCTTTGTTTGCCTGATTGGGACATGCATAGGTGATTGCGATTGCATGACACTGACACAAATATTCTACATCCATGTGTGAGTTTATGTGTTGTGTTCTCCACCAATCCCCTACAGAGGCCAAACTAGGTCTGATGAAAGAGGAAATACATTCTCCCACTAGCTTGAGGGTACATAGCTCACCTAATGAAAATAACACATTTTTCCTTTTTGGAATTTTCCTTACTTTTCATGTCATTTCTAGTTTACCCTCTAGTTTACAAATATAATTTGTTTATTATTTGTTTCATTATGTTTGCCTGAAAATGTCTTAGATTTTTATTCCTGCCGCTGCTGCCTGCAGGTAAGGTGTACCTTACCTGTGTTTCTGGTGTCTTACCCTGTCCTTAGCCTTGTTCATAGCCTTGTTTGTACCCTGTGTCCTGTAGTATATAGCTCTTTAGCTCTCCAGGCTATCTATAAGTAGCTGCTCCAGCTTACCTGTCACTATTAATACCTACAGATTAACCACCTGTGATTCACAGGCACCTGTGATACAGCTACCTGACACGTTTTCAGGAAAAGCTCCTCAAAGGCGACACTTAAGTTTTAGCAGGTAGCTTTTAGCATCAGTGCTGGGGGCAAAGCCATGCTGCTGTATTCAGGGATGGGAATGTGTACTTGCATGCTAACCTGTGGCTGCTGTTGTTGTTTCCCCTGGAACATATTTTATTTTTTTTTTAGGAAAAAACCCTGCTAGGCTGAGGGCCTCACTTTGAAGCCAGTGCTTTCAAAACTTCGCGTCACTCCAATTGCTATTTTCCAGTGTCAGCTTGCTGTGGAAGCAGGACTTTCAGCTGCTTTAGAGTGGCAGTACCCTCGCACCACCTTGCATGATCCAGCTGTGAGCTGTCCTGAACCTTGAGCGTTGGGGAAGTTACATGAGTCATGGCACATTTTAGGCTTTGGAGTTCTGACAGCAGCACAGAGCATATATGCTTTCATTCATTCATTCATTTATACAGATTTGTTTTTGAACAGATTGTTTTTCATTCAGTCTTTAAGAATGAGACTTTCTCATTTTGCATGTTGTTACAAAAACAAGATAATAACTAAAAGAGGAAAATAAAAATGAAACAGTACTGAATCATAATGTTGCTGTTGTACAAGGCTGGAATTATTGACCTGGTGCAGTTGATTCTCAATCATTTAATGCAAGTAGCAAAGAGACTTAATCCTAAGCCATATCTAGTCGCAAACGTCTTCTGTCATTGGGTTTCATTGTAATTAAGGTCATTTAAATGTGAGTTCATGTCCTGATATCTGTATGGGGTTCCCTCATGAACCACATACATTTTGGAGCCTCTGCCCTGCACAATTAGAGCTTGTCTCCCCCTGGTGGTTTTCTTGTGTCTTACAGTATAGTTAGTGGATCTTGATATAGGAATTTGATAATGAATTCATGAGATAGATGTCTTTATCATGATGAAGAATTATTAATCATAAGATGAGTCACCACTGCAGATTGTGATTTAGCAAAGTTCGGCACCCAATTTACCCAGATGATAAAACTTTGACAGCATGAAGCAATTAGGGAGAGAGCATCCCATCAATTGAACTCTCTTCAAACTGTGATTCGACATGCTGCTGGAGTCAGTTGAAAAATTCACTTCATGAATTTAAATGTGTCTAGAGGTTTTCACGGGGGCTTTGGGGATAGATTCTCCCCTCTGAAAAGAATTTCACATTCTGTTTTTAAAGACCTTTTTAAAAGCAGAATGTTTGATATGTGCAGTGAATTCAGAGCAGATGCCTTCGCTTTGAACCCCAGTGGTGTGAATTGAAAAGTGTTACGGGCAGGTTTGTGCTTGTACCTGTTATCCCAGGAGATTTGGCTCACAGGGCAGCACAATGTAGTCAAGATAGTCTTGCTGATTAAACACTCTAGCAAAAGTGTGTGTGTGTGTGTGTGTGTGTGTGTGTGTGTGTGTGTGTGTGTGTGTGTGTGTGTGTGTGTGTTTTTTTTTTTTTTTTAGTATTACTTAGAATTAAGGTGGTGCAAGTGAAGGTGGTGAGGTCAAGGGTTCAAATCCTGGCCACAAATCATAGAGAAACTGAAATAGAAAAGGGAAAGTCCCAACGATATCCAGAAACTTTTTTGTGTGTGCCTCAACTATTTGAAACCAAAGAAGCAGGCTTATAGGACTTTCATTTTTGTTTTATTGTGTTTTATTGCATTTAGGGTTTGGGTTTCTTTCCAGCTTTCAAGATGCATTTTCTGCTCCACACTGTTTTTTCAATACTTGTCTTCAACAAACTGAATGAATGTCTTCAGTGATGTGTTCCTTTCTCTCTGTCTCCTCCAGAGGATGATGTCGATTTAGAGGCCCTGGTGAATGATATGAACTCTTCGCTGGAGAGCCTGTACTCCACCTGCAGTAGTCAGCAGACAGAGTCAACCCCACTACTGCACAATGGACAGACCTCTGCCTCGCACCACCACCACCATCACACGCAACACAACCATCCTCGGCAGGGTCAGCAATCACACGTGCTAGGCCACGCCTCCCCAGAGCCGCCCTCCTCCACGTCCGCGGACGCCCAGCAAACCGGCCTCCGACGGTCACAACCCATGCACATCCTTGCTGTCAGGTATGTGTCTCCACAGTATATGAAGATTCTTCATTGAAATATTTCTTGGTGCACTTCAGCAGCTCAGAGTTGGATTGGAATGTGTGGCAGGCGCCGGACAAGAAATGGAGCTGAACCCTAGGGGGAGCTGTCCAGACTAGGGTGAAAGACAGCTTACATAAACATACAGTATAATTGGCTGCAGACTGGTATAGTGCACTGGGAGAGTGCCCTTCAAAGAGTGTAAGCACCACAATGACACAACCAGCATCGTAGAAAAACACAGCTTGACTCAAAGGGACATGGTTTAGACACAGATTTGTTTTGATGCAACAGAAACATTTGTGAGAATAACATTAGAAAGACATTTTGGTTGTAAAGGGACACAAAAGTATAACTGAGACATATGATTTTCACTTTCAGTTTTCCCTCATGTATTCACTGAGTAAAGCGGTCAATAGTCAATAGTCGATTGAAGATTAATCAGTTAGTCAAGCGACAGATAATTTAATTGTTAACTATTTTGTCAGTCGATCACTCCTCTAAGACAATTTTCATGCAAAAAACCCCAAACATTGCTTTATCCCAGCCTCTCAGTAATGACGACTTTCTACTTCTCTTTGTCTCATGTGGTAATAAACCAATTTCTTTAAGTGTTAATAATTATCTGAAGACGTCACCATGGGTTTTAGGAGATTTCCCACCACTTTCTGACAATAAACAAATTGGTGGAATAATCAAAAGATAATTGGCAGGTTAATCGATAATGAATAATTGTCAGTTGCAGACCTTGTTGAATGTATTTACCACAGGCGTGAAGGAAATTTCGAATGGACTGTTCCTCAGTAAAATGTGTGCATTCATCGAGTGCACTCAGGCAAACAGAAGTATGGCACCAAACTTTAAGCAAACTCCTTCCTTCTGTGTACAGTTGCACATGCAATGCCACACACACATGCAGAGTTCCAGCTCTTTTTTTCTCTCCACGTTGGAAAAGGAGCCTCTCACTGTACGCTGTCATCTCTCCACACCCTCTCGATAATTGGGCATAATGTTTCCTCCCCGCTCCCTATCTTTAGCCCTTGAATGACCTGTTCCTCCTTGTCACTCCCTCTTTATCTCAAACTACACCAGCAGGAGAACTGTAAAAACTCTAACTTATTTTAGAACTAAGTGCTCGTATTCTCCCTAAGGTTGTTGTGTGCATTCAGAAGTGGGTATGCTCACTCACATGTACACACTAAGCTATCAGATGTATAGACGCAGACACACAGTCAGTGTCAGCTCTTATTATTCACCTTTGTGACAGAAAAGGAGGGATGATCAGGTAATGGAATATTCTGTCTTATGAGCTCTGTCTCACACGCACACTCTCACCCACACAGACTCAGGCCCTGAAGTTCTTATTATTCAGGGCTGACCTCTGGATAACCCTGTTCTCCAGCTCAGATGGGACAACATCAAAAGGCCTGTTCCCTTTTGAACTCACTGGGTTCTACAGAGAGACAGACTTTGACAGAGAAGGAGACAGTGAGAAAGAGTTTTCTACAGTGACTCTGAGCTACTTACCTAGCTAGAATTTCAGAAACTAACCTGCCCATTTTTAAAAAGAGACTGAATCTTGAAAAGTTTATGATCAGCCGTCAAATCCTTCCTCTTTCAAGCCATAAGATTACACTATATGTGCCTAATTTAAAAACTGCTTTAAAGTGATGTCTTGATTCAATATTGATGTGTGATAAATATTGCAAAAAATTAGCTAGCAAGCTGTGTGGGTCTGTGATTTCCTCTTCATTATGGGTAGATCAGATGGAAACAGACATGAGCCTGCATACTGCACAGCAATGGTTTATTAAATCTAACTCTCCATGTGTCAGTGGCTCTCATTTCAAAGTTCTCCTCTTTCAATAAGCTATTCCAGGTCACAACCTAAGACTTCAGTTTGTATTTTTGCCTATTGTAATCATGAACACAAGCTAATACTACTAAGTTTGTTTGACCACAGTATGACTGTTCCTTTGTCGGGTTTCCATTGTCCAGGAGATTGCAGGAGGAGGAGCAGCAGCTGAGGACATCATCTCTCCCGGCCATCCCCAACCCCTTCCCCGAGCTCTGTAGTCCAGCAAGCTCCCCTGTCCTCAGTCCTGGCTCCCTACCTCCTGGAGAACCCTCCACTGGCAACTATGTAAGTCAAACCCCACAAAGATACCCTGTAGAAACTTTCCAAAACTGACTTTCAAGGAATTAAGAGAAAAAAATAACTGTTTTAATTTTTCCCAGAGGGACTCTTGTAGGTTTAATATTTTCCTCTGTGTGTTACAAAACATTATCACATAGGATATGGGAGACCATGTCAGATGCTTTTCACTTTGAAAAACAGGATATGAGACATCGACATTTGTTCACCTTTCATGTTGATAACTGAGACATGTGTGACTCAAGTTGCTTGTTTTGAAGGATGCAGGATTTGAATATCGTAAATCAGCTGTGTGTAGTGGTCAACTGTGTGTTGGACATAGGCATTTAGGGATTTTCCCTGCTGTACGTCAGGCATGTTGATTGCTTGCACGTGACAGCACTGTTACCGTACAGTGCATGTGTGTGCTCTAGGGAGGGTTTGTGGCTTTGAAGGAAAAAAAAAAAAAGAATGAGGTGAAGAGTGGAGGAGCAGAGTGTGTGTGTGTGTGTGTGTGTGTGTGTGTGTGTGTGTGTGTGTGTGTGTGTGTGTGTGTGTGTGTGTGTGTGTGTGTGTGTGTACCTGCACACATGGCTGCTTTTCTGTGAGCCTGTTTGCATCGTTGTTGACAAAGATTTAGAGACTGGTCCATCTATTCCTGGAAGTCAGAGTCCCTCCATCATCACTTTTAATGATCTTCACATGGGGCCAGCCAATGCTGGTTACAGTAACATAACAGCTTACAGTAATGTGGAGGCGGACTATTTCTCATAAATACTCTCCCTGGCTATGATCCTAGCCTGTTCCTGTCATGGCCTTTATGGTACAAGATCATACGCTGCAGTTCCAGTTAAGTCATTTCTTGCCAAAATGTTTAAAAGGACTTGCTCTGCTTTCTCAAATGTCAGCTCATAAAAATCACTTGATGAATTGATAAACCTGTGGCATCCAGTAAATGCTTTAAGACTTGGGAAGTTGTGGCTCTGAATTACCATCTGTGACATAAATAAAGCTCTAAATATTTAATGTTGTACTAAGCCTTGAAAGGTTCAATTTCATTCTTGTCTTCACGAGTGGGAAAGTTGTTTCTTTCTCTGTGGGAATGTCTTCAGATTGAGTTACTAGCTGCGGCATGGATTCAACATTGCAATATAAATCTTAGTTCATATGGTAAATATGTCAAAAATTAATGACTTACTAAGTGGTTATGTTTTGCATTGAATTACTAGCTGTGACATAACTTTGGCTCTGTATAAGTAAAGCAGGCGTGTCTGTTAAATAGTCAGAAACCAATTTATTAGACAGGGTGACCTGCATGGGTAGGAACTTGTTGTTGGGTTTTGAAGTCCCAGACGGCTTGTTAAGAGTGCAATATAGACCAGGAAGTGGAGTGGGGGATTGAAGGAGGTGCAGGGGAGTTGGAGATTAGCGCCAGAGGTAAAATATTCCTGTGGTCATACAGTAATCAGATGATGAAATATCTGTAAAAAGCATGACTTTGAGCTGGAGAACTTTGCTTTTTTGAGCCACTCTAATCTATTTAGGACTTTTAGATCTGTCTTTGGCACTGACTACAGTTACCCACATCACAGCAATCTTGTTTTAAATTAGCAGGAATTATTGGATATGCACACTTTTATTTGTATATTATTCTGCTAGTATAATTTAAATATAAAATTTTCAGTTGTTTGGTCATACAGAGGAGACCTCAAAATAATTGTCAAGTGGGCCCATACTCCATTGTTTTACTATTTTTTTTAAAGATGTGCACAGTGCTTTTTTCATAATCGTTTTTGTAAAGTGAGATTGTTTTGACCAATTGTAAAGAAGTTCAGTTAAAAGAACTTTATATTTGTATCAGTTGTATTGGAAAATAAGAATTCCTGTGGAGTGTAAAAAATCATGTGTTAAAACGTAACGATACATCTGCTCACAATGCACTAAAACACAGCTGTAAAGTTAAACCGTTACTAGATATAGGAAAATAAAAGTCTTTACTGGTTTTATTTTGCATGGAACACCAAACTTATGCAATGAAGAAGCAGTCCTGAGAAAGTTGTGGAAAATTGAATTCCTTTTGTGTGTTTACCGTGCACACACTGTGTACATACTTGTGTAAACTTGTGTGATTGTGCTGTGAGTCCATCCATATGGGTGTATTTGTTTTTTAGATGCATGTGTGTTTGTGTGTTTGCCTGTTTGTCTTTGTGAGTTCTGTAAACTATTTACAGCATTGGCTGTGTCTATCCATTGTTGATGGCAATGGAAAGTATGTCTCATTGTGGTTGTTCTTCAGTGGAAATTCAATTCAGCACCTTTCCACTGAAAACAAACCCAAAAAAAACCCTCCCATGGAGCCATCTCATCTCACACACACACACACGTGCTTCTGGGGTGCAGCTCTGGAGGCATGTGGCATCTGCTTCCTTGAGTGGTTCAGATTTGTGGAGAAGTGGGTGATCTGTTTGGGGTTTGACAAGTGGGGTGGTGAGCAATAATTTGATTTAAATTTGAATTTAAATTATTGCTCCCAGGCCACTCGCCAAGACCTCTAACATTAATCATTTCAACCATATGCTTTCTGTTTTGTGCCCTTTTTTTGTCTTTATCTCTCTTTGTCTGTCTCCATCTACCCCTCTCCCTTCCCTCCAAACATCTAGTCCAGTCAGCTAGCCTGCTGGTGAGAAGTTTCTCTGTTTAGTTTACTGAATTTTCCAACCTCCGGGCACTTTCTGACAGACTCTCATACTTCGGTCCCTCCTTACCTCACTCCTTGGCCTCTGTGCAGGAGGCATGAGGACACAGCTCTGGGCTGTCAGGAATCACTGGGCAAGCTGTTTGACATGGCCATATGATTCCCAATTACCTCATTCTCCTCCCCCTGTCTTTCTCCATTTCACCACTCTTAGCCCTCCTCTCTCCAGCGTGTCTTTGTAGCTGTGTATTCTTAATGGGGAAAATCTGAATTAGAGACACAGTATGTGAAATTAATAGAAATATAACGCAGTGTTGAAGTAATGCAAAAGTCATCTGGATTGTTTACAGTTTATAATTCAGGATTTAAGCTGTGTAACATCAGTGAAACACACAAGGCCAAATCAGAATGAAAACACTTGGTTAGTTTGGGAGCTACAGGACGATTGAACCAGGAACCAGGAAGCTGCTATCTATGAGTACTAGCCCCAGTCCAGTGTGGTATATGTGAAAGTGTGCAACGATGGGTGTATATCCTTAAAAGTGACTTCCTGTGCCTGCTAAGGATTACTACAAACAAAAATGAATTTTCATACCTCTTTCCATGTGTATCCAGCAGGTCAGGTATAGCAACCGCGCTACGTTTAAGAAAATACTAGGAGCTTGGCCTGTGTAATCCATGTCGTGCAATGGAAAAGTCTATAAGAAGCCTTGAATGCAACTCACTTAGTTGGTATATCCATTCATTTTCTCAGTCTAGGTTCTTGACAGTCTATCCTCAGTAGTGCAATAGAGAGTGCTGTTATGTACGTACTTGGACACTGTGTTCCCATAGCTGCCCCAGTCGTTCTAGTGTGGGAACACTAATTTGATCACTGGGTTGCCAGATTTTGCTGGATTTACTGTACTTGGACTGGATGTCCTGTAGCTCACTGTGCTCTATGGTATGGCAAGATCCCCACGCCCTGTCTCTGCCTCTCCAGTCTGTGTTTCATTATCTTTCTATTGGTCTGTCTGTCTGTCTGTCTGTCTGTCTGTCTGTCTATCTCTGTGTGTCTATGACTGTATGTCAGTGTTTATCTTTCTGTCTGTCAAGTGTTCCTCTGTCAATCATCCACCCTTTTGTCTTTTACTCCAAACATTTGTACTGTGCAAAGTGTCCTGTAACAATTAAGCTCACTAGATGAATACTCATTCACACATGATGAAGTAAGAGACTTAAAATAGAGCATGGTGCCAGACGAGCAGTGGAGGTTGGGTTGGCACTGATAATGTTAGCAAATGGGCTTGGTTTCACAAGGCTGACAAATAATGCTACTGCTTTCTGTATCATGCAGGTTTAAGTAAACATGCCAGCAAACTGTCCAGCATCTATTCACACTCTCCAGCATTAAAAAAGTATGACTTGTTGTTATTCTTCGATAGGAGACAGCAGCAGTGCAGTACAGTATTTAAATATGTTCAGGATTATAAAAATACTGCAGCTGGTTATATTGTGAGTTTTCCCAACATCATTTGAAAGTGAATACAGCTAGGGTGCCCCGATAGCTCGCTTGGTAGAGCTGGCGCCCCCTGTACAAAGGCTGAGTCCTTGCTGCTCCCGTAATCACTTTGTACATCATCTTTTGAACATGAACAAAACTTACACTGCCTAAAATGGGTTAGTAATTATTTTCTATATTTTAATTATGTTCAGCAGGTGAGATAACTTGCTTTCCTTCCATATCCTTTTCTGTCTATTTTTTTTAAATCAGCAACAGCTGCCACAGTATCCCTAAAGGGATCATTAACATGTGCTCTAACGATGGTAATTCTGATCACTTTTCCATCCTCCTCTTACTTTTCCTCACCCGTTCCTCTCTCTCTGCATGATGTTTTCTCTACCTGAGTCAGCCAGATTTCTAAGCTGTCGCACCTAGTTATCAAGAAAGAATGTTGTGAATGCTGTGTACTGCACCAAAGTAGAATTCAAATGATGAGCTCATGATGTTAGCAGCTTCAATTTGTAGAAATCATTTGATATGTTTTAAATGTATCTCAATTTAAGATCATTACGCTTGTGTAGGACGGAAAATGTAGTAAATCCAGTATAAGTAGCACTATCCGCTTTTATTAAACTATTGACAGAAAGAAGTAACAAGTAAGGTATGATGCAGTAATGAGACAGACAGCACAGTGTCTCCCTTTGCATCTCAGAATATTACAAGCTGTTGACAAGACATTCATCATCATTATTTCTGATGTGTGGCAGAATGCTAGTTCGCCCTAGCAGCTGAAAGAAATCTGTCAAAACTTTATATGAGAGGAAGTTTTTC